TGGCGTGTAATGGTAGCACTGAACTCTGTCTCAACTGCAGCATCCTTTTTTGTGTGCGGCTACGCATTCGCACGGCAGGGTACTCATGCTGACTACCAACAACGCACAAACCGGTAAAAATATCAACAAAGCAACGTTTGGTTCTTCAGAAATAATCAGATTACATCTACTTCTAATCAAAGACAGCTGGAAGCAAAGGAATGTGTCACGATGGGATTATTTTGTTTGAATTTGATCGTTCGCATCTTCTACTACACTATCATCAGGATCTGATGGCGGTTCCTCTTCGTAATGCTCGGGTTTCCCAACTGTAGTCTAAATATGAAGTCTAGTAAATCCTGCAGAGCTGCAAGAATCGACCACTCCAAAATAAATTTTGAACTAATGATAAAAGAAAGTAACAAGAACGAATGGTGGATTAATCAACCAACCGATAGAGAATAGTTTTTCTTTGAGAGGATGAACCTAGCGGAGGAATCCAGCTGAAAAGAAAAAAACCCATGAGCTTTTCTCCCTGTGTTACAGTCTGTTTCAACCGCGTGGAAGCCTAGGGATACGCGCGTCCGCTCTGCAACCCTTCGCGCCGTATGACTACGTAGTTGCATGATATTGTGACAGACTTCACGTCTTCTTGTCGTTTCGTACGTTCTTTGTGCGCTGCTGCACAAGTACTTTGCCCACTCGTGGTTAGAACAGACTGTAGACTTCTGATGTAAGCACTCTATCAAAACTCACCATGTCCATGACATTGTCAAACGTTTGCATCGTCGGTATTTGCTCAGCCCTATAAAATAAATTTGAGTGTGATGATTTTCAAGGCATTGCTCTGTATAGCTCAATAGATTTGATGAAGGACCGCTTTTCGCTTGCCATTGCAGCGCGCCTCTTATTGGTCAGCACGTTGGCTCTGAATGGCCAGACTTTCAGCAGGGCAGAGCAAGGGATACGAAAATTTGCCCATACAAGAATGCTTCCTCACTTTTGTACCTATGTTCAACACGCCGCACGCGAACGGTTCAAAAGGGCTTAATGTTCCAGTTTACTGACACTATATTCGCTGTCAGATTTATTGAATCGAAGCCTACCTTTCTCCAGCAGGTGTTGTGCACTCAGTGTTCAGTCTCCTGTAAGGGTGAAACGTTAAACCAGATGTGTGCTTCGTCTGGCCATTCCGATTCTTTGTCTGTAAAAGACATGACTTCGGCGATATGGGAGCTCAAGACTTTTGTACCTGGTTATGGATTTCAGTAGAGGGTATTGCGTAAGAGTTCACTCCCAGACTGAGTGGTGTAGTTTCCTGAAAAGACACCGGATAGTTTGCTTACTTTGAACTATCAAAACTCAATTACCTGCGAAAAACTTGGAGATGAGCAAGCATATAGAACATCATCGGCAGGAAGAAAGTCTGTCACAGCTTCGTCAGCAGCCCTGAAGAAGGAGAACCACTCAGATTTCGGACCTCTATTTTTCTACTATTTGTTTTGTGTTATTCTTATGTAAACGTATGTACAGATTGCTCCTCTTTCATAGAGCACAATTTTCTATGCAATTTCCCATGGAGATCTAATTTAGCTTGGAAACTTTTCTATTTGGAATAAAAATGTTTAGAGTAAGGAGGCAGAACTACACAAAAAAACTGAGGAAAGAAGAAGGCTTGAAACAGACGAAAATGAATGTAAAGACAAAAAAATCTTAATCGTTCCCTTCCCTTATAAGTTTCCTCCATGCGATATAACTTAAGCTTTAGGTTGACATTTATATTATGAACATGGCCAGAAAAAAGGAGCGTTCTAATGCCGCACGCACCTTCTTTGCAGTTTATCAAATTGGTTTCATGCTACCGTTTTCGCAAATTTGAAGCTCATAAAAATCTGAGTGAAAAGAAATTTTTGCGTGAGTTGTATTTATTGACATACTAGCTGGCATACCCGGCTCCGCCCGGTCCAGT